AAGCATTTTTCTAATCACGAACTATACTTCGGTGGTTATGTACTTGTTATAAAAAAGGTGATGTCATAACCTGCTCACAACCTTCCACGGTATATTAATAGTTTTTGAACCTTGCGCCGTACACCTAGTTATGCCGCAAATTTAGCTGTAAAGTGACAGTAAAAGTGATTAAAGTGTGGAAGGTTATATTATATAACCAACCTGGTATGTTCAGCTTTGTTCTAACGTTATGTATTTGACTTAATAGGTAGGTTCTATTGACGTCTAGTCTTGTGGAGGTTTATATCACAGCACACCCGGTGTACATAGTCGTGCATGAAGGTTATTGCAACCTATTCAGTATATTGGATTTTGAAGGTTAGGATTTATGTAAAATTGAATGGAAGGTTATATTGTATATCCTATATTTTGTGTTATATTATTACATTATAATTGCATGGAAGTTTTTTTTATATAACTTCTAAAAACAAAGTTTTAGCCTACCCACACACAAATAAGTTATGCGCAAAGGTTCAAAATGGTTAACCTCGGTGAAATATAAACGCCTAACCTTCCCCCCTGCTATCTGCAATAGGTTATGAGTTTATAAGACAGGTTATTTCAACATTCCAGTTAGAAAAATTTCTCCGCGCTTTTTTGTTCATCATCGGAGAGACAAATTTCCTCCGACCGGTAAATAAACACACCAGATGAGTACTGAGCAGGTAACCAGTACGTAACCTCCAAGAATGGGTTTGTTAAATTTTGCTTTGACTTTTCTAAAAGGAAGGAATGCTTCAGATTCAAGGCTGATTGTGTGGAACGGATAAATTTGCCGTCTGGGTAAGGTAAAAGCTTCTTTTTTTAAGGGACTTAACGATCAAGTTCGGACATTAAATTCCAAAGAGCTCTGATAGTACGTACAGGTTGATTACCCAGCAGGAAGGTTTTTATAACGAAGTGATTGTGCAACTGAAGGTTACTGTACCTTTATAAAGTATGGCGGCTATTACTTCGCCAAAAGGGGCTCAGGGACAGGGGGAGGTTACCGCACGGTTATAAATTGAAATAGGGAAATATTAATAAGGTCTGTCTAAAGACGTCGGTTCAAGTTATGTGAATCATTCGGGATCACGGCTTGACTTCGTAGAACGCGTTTTGAAGTTACAGTTCTATCTTGAAGATTTCGCACGGGCATTATCCGAACTGCAAGAACAAATTGTGACGTCATAAATTTTTCTCGATTAAGATGACGCCACAGTATGTAATAACGTTCGTAGACGGATCATATATTTGAAATTGATGATGTCACGATTTGTGGGATATACCCTTGTGGACTTTTCCTGTTTGAACGCCATGGTTTTAAACGATGACGTCACAAATAGTTGGAATTGCATTATGAGACCGTAGGCTCAATTATAATGACCTCACTAGTGTTTTAGTGAAGTCGTTTACCAGACGCCATCGTTTTTTATAATACTACGCCTCCGCTTGTATATTATAATGCCTTTACCTATCCGAGCTACGACATTACGGTGTGTTGTTTTGTGGCTTTTTTAATCAGGCGCCAATTTTTTTTTAAATATATGCCGTCACTGCGTTGGTTATTATGTGTATGTAACCAATAATCGCGAAGACGTCATAGCTGGAATTTGTTTTTTTTTAAACAGGAGTCATCCTTTTTTGTAATATGACGTCACAGGCTGGTTATTCTGTACCTGTAACCTACAAAATGCGATGATGTCACAGGTTAATTTTAGTGAGGTTATGAGGCGCCATTTATTTTCACTTTTCTGTAATATGACGTCACAGCGTTAGTTATTATGCGTCTGTAATCTATAATTCAGATCACTGGTTTGTTTTGGGAGTTTTTTTTTTATCTGGTGCCATCTTTTTGTTGTTTTTTTTATAACATTACATAGCGTTGGTTATTATGTGTCTGTAACCTATAATTCTGACGACGTCGCAGGGTTTTTTTTATATGGCGTCATTGCAATGGTTATTATGTGTCTATAACCTATAATTCTGTTGACGTCACCGGCTTGTTTTAGAAGTTTTTTAATATGCCTCATTATTTTGTAATATGTCGTCACTGTCTTGGTTATGATATGTATGTAACCTATAATTCTGATGACGTCCCCGATTTATCTTTAGGGTGTTTTTTTTAATCTGGCCGCCATCTTTTTTATCTTTTATTGTAATATTACTTCATAGTGTTATATGTTATGAGTCTGTAAACTGTAATTGCAATGACTTCACCGGTGTGTTTTATGGAGGCTGTTTATCAGGCGCCATCTTTTTTTTTTAATTTGACGTCACACCCTATTGGAAGGTTATTACGTGCCTTTAACCTATAACCACCATGACGTCCCGTTATTTTTAGTGAGGTTGTTCATAAGGCGCCTTCACTTTTCTAAATGTGACGTTATAGACCATTGGAAGGTTATAATTTTCTCTTGGCCGACATTTTTTCAATGACGTCACGGTTTGATTGCGTGGAGTTTATGTCGAGCCTACAAATGTCCCCATCTGTAATTATTTCATTTTAATTAAGTGAAAATTATTCTATTATTCGAATTGTGTTTTTTTGGAGCGAGCGGTACATCCAACGGGTCCCGGACCGTTTACGGGTGGGAATCGTTCCCCGTCCGATCATTAAATCTCGAGGGAGTCCCTCAGCTCATCCCCGGACGTGGGAAAAGTCGTCGGAAAGTCGAGCTTACGAGTCGCGTGCGTACGTGGGTAGGAAAAATGTGTTTTTTCCATTTCTTTCCACCACCCCTCCCCCCCAGAGTCTTCGCGGGTTAACCGTGCCTCTGGAGAATTCCAGGAGTGGGGCCTACGCCCGTTGACAAAAGTTCAATAGCTCGGTTTATGTGGTACGCTTTAGTATTCGGACGGCGGCCGAGGCGATATCCTTCCCCACCCGGACGACATGGAGTAAGTAAAGTCTATCAAAACTTATTTTACTAGCACCGACTAAAAATGAGCCAGTCATCCCTCTTTTGGGTGGCGTAATAGGGAAAAAAGTCAAAAACTAAAAATTCGGTTGGGAAAACAGTTACAATTTCAACAGATTAAGGGTCAAGTTTTATCTGAAAAGTCAAAAGAAGATAGCTCCGTCCACAAAAAGAGCAAAGACCAATCGGCAATCCCATCCAAAATCCGACTGTTCCGATTTAGGGTGGTTGTGGACAAACCGAACCATTTCAAGGTAGGCGAATGAGTTCGGTCTGTCCAAAAATGGATTTCAGAAGTTGGTGGCATGAGGTGGTCTTTTCTGGCCAAAAGCTCGTTCAAAAAGAAATTACATGAAATTCAGAAAAACTTTAAAGCCTTCATAAAAGATGTAACTTTTTTTCAATCAATACTGGATTTTGCCACTTGTCCAAAAATTCGTTCAAAAGTTAAAACTCTATCCAGAATATACGAACCAATTTTTTCATCAAAAATTATGGTTTTCGACCAAAAGTGGATTTCTTTGGACAAAAAAAAATTCAAGCGCTCAGGTTTGAAATAGGTCGGGTTGGGATCTAACCAGATCTTGTCAAAAAATAGGCAAGCCTGTATTTTATTTTATTTTTATTTTTTTAATAAAAAATGTATCATGGCTAAAATATTTTGTTCGTTGGAAAACCAAAGGGAGTTTTTAGTTGCGTGAAATGACGTCATCCTGTACTGGAAGGTTACAACACGAACGCGACCACAAGGTTATTACCCGACGAGAATATAACCTAGCGGTCAAAAGTTACAATTTATAATTATTTTTTATCATTTTTTGAGGCCAGGAAATAATCATGTTGAACATACATGTATTCTTTAAATTAACTTTGATGTCATGGGTTCTATGCTAGGAATAAAGACGCCACAATATATATAATTTATGGGCGATCATAGCCGAGAGGTTTGCGCCTTGATATAACTAGCGTTTTTTATCAAGTTACTACACGTCACTACGAAGGTTATAGTCTGTGAGCAAGAACATTGTAAACAACATAATAGGTTACGTAAATCAAAAATAACTATTTGGTAAAATGTTGTCATGAGTTTTCCCGCCATTTTATCTTGTAATGACGTCACAGAGCGTGAGAAGGGGTTATTCAACACGAAGGTTCTGTCTGGTTATAACCTGCACGTGTCATGGCGTCAATGCGCATAGCTGAGATTACAACCTGGCATTCAACAAAAGCTATATACGATTTATAATATTAAAATATTTTTTGATTACTGAAAACAATCGTATCCAGCATATATCTTTGAAAATATTAGTAAATTGACATTTTCGCCATAATTAAAGCAAATGGTGGCATACGCGCCACATTAGGGGTAAATGATGACATATTAGGGATAAATTACGTCGTCAGCGCAGGCCATGTTAGGAGTGAATGACGTCCTTTGCGCCATATATTAGGCAAACGACGTCATCGTGGGCGCCATGTATTATGAACAAAGTATAGATATTACGGCCGATTATTCGCGAGAGGTTTGAGCCCGGTTATAACCCGAACGTGTCAATGGCGTCAATAGGTGTAGTAGAGGCCGGCGCCTAAATTTAAAATACTGTCTTATTGCTTTATAATTGTGCTTTTTACATTTTTTTAGGTTGGATTATGCATTATTTAGGCAAACGGGGACTAGGTCGAGGATTGATGGCCCATCCCTGATTTAAGTTGGATTTACGTTTTTTATCGTGTGTGAACATTTGTAGTGGGGGTTTTGTCAAATATGAAAAGATCAGACGGTTTCCCGTGTTTGCTCTGGTGTATCGCGTTATCTAATCTCTGGATTCGGTCATTCGGTCATGAACGAGAACGGGGATCGGAGGTGCCACCGTTTGGCTTTCAAAATAACGTACGTCGCCAGCGAACGCGCACCTTCAGGTTAGAAATAGAAAGGAACGTACAACTCCCCACATCAGGGATACTCATGACGCTTTTTATTTTATTTTGGTGTTTGTTTCGTTTAAAGAAAAGAAGATAAAAAGTGAAAAACAACTCATAATGGCTTTTTACTTCTTCCAGATGAGTGTCACCAGGAACAGGAGGCTGAGTGGAGGCCGGAACCCCCGAAAGTCGAAGACGGGACGACCCAGACGACGCCGACGAGCGAAAACGAACAGGATGATGATAACATAGCAGGAGGTACGTGGGTTGAAACGTCGTGAACCGTGAGTTCGGCTGACGGCCGTTGGTGCGTCCGTTCATACGGACCAACGGCCGGCAAGAATCAAACTTTTCAAATATACTCTTCTTACTGCTTAATCCATCTCTGGCTAAGTGTGACGGTTATAGGAAGGTTGTGTGATGTGTATCGTACGTCAAGTCGATGATGTAGCTGATGTAATGGCAGGTTGATGACGTAGTACGTGGATATGGCAGATTATATGACGTAATCGTGTTTTGGCAGGTTATGAAACGTGAATCGTGTTACGTCAGGTTAATGACGTACCTGATCTGATGGCAGGTTGATAACGTAGTTTATGATATGACAGATTATGCGTCGTAGATCGTATTTTGGCAGGTTATGGGACGTGATCATTCCCAATCCCGAACCATCCCATATTATGACAATTTAACTAAATTTTTGCCAATCCTAACCTGACAGGATTGAAGGGAGGTTACACAAGGCTATAGTTTTTTCTTTTGCTTGGTAATAATGTGGGAAAAATATAACACCAAAAATATTTTGTGATGTTTTGGTTTTTATTGCACTTTACGACCATTTATTTATTTGCTATTGGGCTTTTTAACCTTATTTTTCACAATAGTACCTTGATTTGAAGAAAGGTTTATCGATTATTTTTTACAAAATTCTTCCTTTTCCGGAGTGTTTTATTATTTGATCTCGTCGTTTATACTTAACTAAATTTTTCATAATCCTAATCTGATTGGTTGGAAGGGATGTTATACAAGGTTATAGTTCAGGTTATTATTAGAAAAACCGTTCATATTTTGGTACGTTTTAGTTTTTATTATACTATCCAGCCTTTTTCATTTTTTTATTGGGCTTTTTAATTTGATGATTTCTTCATTTCTTTCTGATTTCTTCCCGAGCCTAACCTGAAGGTAGGTTACACAAGGTTGATTATTTATTACACACTATCGATATTTTTCCGGGGTGTTTCTATTATGTTCCCTCATCAATTATAAAGTTGATTAAACTGTTCACAATCCTAACCTGACTGGATATGAGGGAGGTTACACAAGGTTTATCGATTAATAAGTCTGGTTTGTTTTTTGGGCTGTTTTATTAATTTATTCTCAATCATTTTAAAATTTAACTAGATTCTTCACAATCCTAACCTGGCGGGAATGAAGGAGGTTACACAAGGGTATTTCTGAAAAACCGTTCACATTTTTTGGGATGTTTCAAATAACAGGCTATCCAGTCATTCCTCATTTTTTATTACGCTTTTCGACTTGAATTTTTCGCAATCCTAACCTGATTACATTGAAGGTAGGTTACGCAATAGTTTTTCATCAATACTTGGTAAAACAGTTATTCTTGTGGTATTAAAAAAAATATTATACCAACACGTATATCTTTTTCATTCGTACGGGATTCACCAACACGTACGTCATTTTTTTATGCTTTTATTGCATTTTTAACTTGATTTTTTCCCAATAATAACCTGGCATGGTTTGAAGGTAGGTTACACAAGGCTATATCTTTTTTTGTTAATACTTGGAAAAACGGTTATTCCTGTGGGATTTTTTAAAATTATTTTTATTATACTATCCCTTTTTTTCATATTTTTCTTGGCTTTTTAACCTGATTTTTCCAAACATAACCTGGCTTGTTTGAAGGGAGGTTTACCAAGGCTATAGTTTTTGATAATATTTGGAAAAACCGTTTTTTCAGTGGGATCTATCTCGTCATTTTTCATGTTTTTATTGCCATTTTTAACCTTATATTTTATTAATCTACCTTGGTTTAATGGAGGTTACACAAGATTTTTGTGATTATCCCATGTATAAAATCTTTTTCCGGGTTGTCTTATTATTTCATCCTGTCATTTATAAAATTTAACTAGATTTTCAACAATCCCAACCTTTCTGGATTGAACGTAGGTTACACAAGGCTACACTTGTCGTGAATACTTGGAAAATTATTTTTTATTGCACTATTTCGTCTTTTTCATGTTTTTATTGGCATTATAACCTGATTTTCTAACAATCCTAACCTGCCTGGTTTGATGGGAGGTTACACAAGGTTTTACCGTTTATTTTCTGGGTTGTTTTATTATTTTATCCCGTCATTTATAAAATTTAGCTAAATTGTTCTCAATCCTAACCTGACTGGATTGGAGGGAGGTTACACTTTTGTGTCGAGGAATTATGAAACTATGTTGAACTTTTTCTTTTTCTTTTATAGACATGCCCGAGAAAAAGGAGAGGTACATAGTGGAGACAATAACCATGACGACCGTGACGGAAAGGCGGATCATCCGGGAGACAGAAGAAGCGAGCGAGGCCGCCTCCACGGCCAAGGAGAAGGAGAAGGAGATGACTCTCACCTTCAAGCTCGGCTCCAACTCTCTCAAACCGAATTCAGCTTTGCGTCAGCTCTTCCCGCGCATCGCCTCGCCACCGCCTGACAAATCGCCAGATTCCGACGACGATTCGCTCCAGAGCAACTTGATCAAGAGGACGATCGAGAGGAACACCCTTCGCCGTAGCTTGGTACGCTACCCGGACATTAGGAAGCGTAACCAGGCGAAGAAGAACGAAAACAGCCTCGTCGAGAGGATAAAGAAGCTGACGTGCGACATCGACGAAGAAGAGGCTCGCAGTTCTCCGACCGGCGAAGAATCCAAGGAAGAATCCAAGATCCCCGCTTACAGGAAGATCACTGATATATTCATAAGGAATAAAGAACCTCATCCCGTCGTCCTCCAAACGCCAGCTTCAGTGGAACATCAGTATCCTTATTACCAGCCGTACAACCCGCCTGACCTGGGCAACGGTCTCCACAAGCCTCGTTCCGTGACGGAAGCGCGTAAGCAGTTCCTGTCCTCTCTCGCCCCTTTGGCGGCGTGCGTCACGAGCAGGGACGACACACCGGGAAGCAGGGATTCGACGAGCACCGTAGATACGGAATACTCCCTTAATGACATAGACGACGTCTTGAAGGAGCAGAAGCCCCAGCCTGATATCGTAGTCGGCACCCCGGGCAATGAGAGCGACGAGCTGGCCCTGTTCGTCCAGCAGGACGCGTCGAGGATCGAAAGACTGAGGAAGAGGTACAACTCCGGCTCGGACGACGAACATGACGACTACGGCTTCAACAGGCGGCCTTCAGTGCGAGGTATCAAGCCGAGGTTCGGCTCGACGACCGAAATCCTCCAGCAGATGCAGTCGCAGATGGCCCCTTTGCCGTCGGGCAGCCACATCTCCTGGCCTTACTACGACGACAGGAACGGCTACAGGCGCTATGAAGAGCCTCATTTCTCCCAGAATGTCATACACGTCGGACAGGGGCAGAGCGTGCGGGTCCCATACCCACCTGGGCCCGTTCAAGTCCACCTCATACCCCAGAGGCAGGTGGTCGTCCGAGGAACGCAGACGATATCGACCTACTACCAGATACCCAGGTACCCCAGGCCGGTCGTCTACTACCCGAGGCCGTCTGTCTGCAGCTCACCGACCAAGATGAAGCTGGAACGCGGTGTGCCCGAAGGCGCGAGCTCCTCACCGCACCAGGAACATCTCCTCCCTCCTCCGCCTCCCCCCGCCAACCAGCAGGTCGACCAGCCGATGATGTACGCCATGAACGTCTGACATCAGTGTAGCTACTACTATCAGTAGCATACGGACGATCTTGTCTGAAAAAAACAAACCACAAACGGACTGAAGTACCGCACAAGATGATTTCAGGGTACTTTATAACCCCCAAAACAAACCCCTTGCTGCGTGCTTTTTTTTTCTCAAACCAAAGCACTAATTAAACAAGCATACTCGTAGAGTTTCGCCTAACCAAAGAGAACATTGTAACATGAAAACAGGACACGTTGGAAAAAATTTAACGTTCAAACATTCTTTACAGGTTATGTGACGTAGAACAACTTTATGACTTAGCTCTTGATATGGCAGGTTGTGTAACAGCTCGCCAAATGGATGGTTGTATGACGTTACTCGCAATAGCATGTTTTGTAGTAACATCGATCGTGTTATAAGAAGGTAATGTGACGTAGAAAGTAATATGACAGATTGATGACGTAGTGAGTTTTATGGCAGGCTGATAACGAAGCTCGTGTTTAACTGGTTAATAATAGCTCTTGGCAGGTTGTGATGACCAATTCGTCATATGTCAGGTTGCTGGTGATATGACAGGTTGATGACGTTGTGCGTTTTATGACAGGTTGATGACGTAGCTTACGTTATGGCAGGTTTTGTGATGTACCTCCTGTTATGTCAGGACAATGACGGCTCATGTTATGGCGGGTTGATCACACAGCTCGTCTTATGTCAGATCGATAACGTACCTCGTGTTATTGGATGCTGTGATGACGTAGCTCGTGATGTGGGAGGTTGTGCTGACGTAGCTCGTCTTATATCAGGTTGTGCTAACGTAGCTCGTCTAACAAAGTTGTGAGGTAGCTTGTGATATTGCAGGTTCTGTAACATACCTCGTCTTATAAGAAGTTTACATGACGTAGATCCTGATGTGACATATTATATTTATACGGGAGGTTATGCGACGTAAGTCTTGTTATAGCAGGTTATGCTGCTACGCGTTCTTTCTTGTTTACGTCACCTTCGAACTTGTGTTTGCAGGTTTTGCTACTCCCCGAGGCATTGTTACTGTTCGTCCGCCATTTTTCTCGCGGCCTCCTCGATCCCCCCACCTACAGGCCTAGGAAAAATATGATTGTTCTCGTTTTTGTTATTTTTCACCCAATTACCTCAGTCTGAGACCAAATTAGAAATGAAAATATTTAAAATTTTAAATTATATATATACATATAAATAGATAATTTATTAGAACGTTATTTTAACAATTTGTTTGTCAATAATAATTGGGAGGGGGGATTTTTTTCTTCCATATTAGTTATTATAGATACTTTATTTTTCTACTTAAAAAATAATTAATTAATGGAGAAAATTGGAATATTGGGAGAAAAATGAAAAGAGTGCTCTTTGTATTATTTTTTGTTATTATATAAAATAATAAAATTTTAAAAATGTTGTAAATAGGTTGTATTTTAGAGGATTTTCAATCAAGGGTTCATCCTGAAAGGTCGTGCGGGAGAAAAAAAAGAAAGGACCACATTTCCCCTTCCTTTCCCCCTGCCAATTGGTTATTTTACATTAATTAATTAATTTATTATTATTTAATTCTCTCTCGAGATGCTCTCCTTGTTTTGTAAATAACAATACGGAAAAAGAAGGCTTAGAGAACCAAAAAACAAAAGAAAAAATCCAAAAAAATTATTTAACAAAAGAAAAAATTAATTATTAATTAATGTTAACGAACTTTGTAGATTATATTTTATATATTACACATTATAAATATATATTTAAAAAAACGTTGTATCATGTAAAAAAAATTTATCAACTTTAAAAAAAATCAAATGTCCTTTTTTATTTAAATTGTTGGTGTTTATAATTTTTTCCTATTGGAAAAACAATTGTAAATAATCATTAACAGAAAAAAAAATTATAAAAAAATAATTACAAAAAAATTGGTGCCAAAGATGTTGCAAAAAACAACTAATTAGTAGGGATTTTAAGAAAATAACAATAAAAAAATGTTTATTAAAAAAGCGAACTGGACTGGGTTTTTGTTTATTATACATTCCCCCTTCCACAAAGTTTAAAGTTGATCTGATTGTTGATCAGGTTATTCTGAAATGTCAACACGTACAAACATAACAGGGCAAAAGGAGGTTACGGCATTGTTACGTGTTGTTGCGGGGTAAACCCACCTGGAAGGTTATATAACGGAAACACTACATAAACTGCTAATTGTACGAAGTGAGGCTATAGCATTGTTTCCTTGCAACAAAAACAAAGTTGTACAATAGTTCTATGCAAAAACGATAACTATGTGTTTTCAACATTGTTACCTTTATGTACGGTGATTCGGAAGAAAATAATTTGGAAGGTTAAACAATTATTTTCGTCTGTTTTCTTCAGGGCAGAATGGGGTTACGGCATTGTTACCTTCTGGATAGCATGGATGTTTTCAGACCATCCAGGAGGTTATATAATCGTAAAATGACTGAAATCGCCTTCTGTGAGGGGAAAAAAGTGAGGTTATGACATTGTTTCATTGAGTCAAAAACATCTGGCTGCTTGTGGAAACTTCCGTATAAAATCTGTCCAATTAATTATAAGAGTGAGTTTTCGACATTTTTACCATCAAAAATAGTTTGGAAAGTGAAAGAATTATATTAGTTTAACCGGTTCGATTTAGAAAGAGGGAGCAGCTTATGACATTATTTCCCAGTGCGAAAAATATCTGGAAGGGTGTAAAATCGTTTTTCCTAGAAAAGGTACAGTTAAAAATAGAATAAGGTTATGACATCATTACTTTCGACTTTCGTGAATGTAAATAAAAAAAACTAATTTCGAAAGATATAGAGCTATTTTTATCTAACTGTTCCAATGGGGCAGATTGAGGTTACAGCATTGTTATCTTCGGACATAGCATAAAAAAGAGGTTTTCAAACCATCCGGGAGGTTATATAGTCGTAACAACTCTTAAAATTTTAGTTGGACAGAGTGATGTTATGACATTGTTGCTTTCGGATGTGTTTGTCCAGGTTGGTTTGAAACCTACTGGAAGGTTATATAATCCTTTTGTGTCAACACGGTATATGAAAAAACGAAAAAACTATGAGGTTGTATTATCGTTTCATTAAACGAGGAGTGGGTTGAAAACAGGTTATATACAATTGTAACATGTTGAAAACAGGTGCTTTAAACAGATTGAGGTAAGGGCATTGCTACCAAAAAAATTTAAATGTAAATATTCACGGAAATTTTCACAAATTGTTCAATAATTATATAAAAATAATTAATTTATTGTTAATACAAATGAAATGGTGGGAGGAACCCACTCCCCATTCCTACCCTTTTGTCCTAATACATTCGTGTTTCTACTTGTTAAAGTTTTATTGTTTTTTAAAACGCTAATCCACTTCGGACCCTATGGAAATGCTTGAAATCCTCTAACGCACGATCATCCTTGCTCAGGCGTGCTATGCAAATCCTCTAATCCCCCATACATGATGCTTTATGCTTGCTTGATCTTTAACCAGACTTTCCATTTTTAATCCAAAGATAATCCGTTGATATTTAGGAACCACTGGACCTTTTATTTACTAATCCATTAATCCTCTTCGAACCTACTGGTAATCCATCTTGCGATACTTGAAACCTGTTAAAAGTGGATAAATCGTAAAACCTTAATCCTAGTTTTATAATCACATGGGATTTACTAAAAATTGGGTCCAATGAATGTGTTAACATGGTGACTATTGTCTATTGTGCAAGTGCGTCAAATATTAATTTCAAATTAAGGAAAGTTATAGGAATACGATGGCAATTAGTTAAAATCAGGTTATGGCATTGTTACCATTTGGTGAGTCCGTTTCAAAATAAGCGGGGAGGTGGCGCAATGCAATTGTGTACGTGTTGAAATTCAATGATCAGGATAAGGTGAAGGTTACAGCATTGTTACATTGTGTTACCAACTGGATTTCAACATGTACTCCTGATATGCCGCGCATATGTCGTTATTAAAATAAGAAAAAAAGAGTCACTGCTACCCTTGGGTAGGGCTTATGAAATCACAAGATCGACCTACTATTGTGGTAAGGAGGTTAACTCAATTAAAAGGTTGGGTGTTTATTGAGAACAGTGAGAAGGTTACGCAAGAATAAGATTTACTGATTATGAGTGGGGGTTATCGATGGTTACCTCCAAGTAAGGTGGGTGGCTTATACAAACATTGGGAAGGTTATGCAAGCACAGAATTGACTGGTCGTGAGGGGATACAAAGGTATTTCTAAATGTGACCTCAACTAAGGAAGATGGGTGGTTATTGAACCATCGAGGTTACACAATTAAGAAATCATATTAAGATGCAGAGAGGTTGTGTTATTGCTACCCTGATTAAGATGGTGTTTATTTATTGTAGTTAGAGGTTATAACATTGCTGTTTTCCAGTGGTCTAGATTATTAACCAGAAACAAAATCAGTTGGAAGGTTACACCGAAAATGGTTGTATGTTGGGTTATGGCATTGCTTTAATTCGGTAGACGACAATTAATTAAAAGACAAAGGTTATACAACTAATTATGAACACTGGCAGGTTATGGCGTTGTTTTTTTTATAGAACCCTAAACCATTGGGAAGGTTATACCACAAGTATTTGATTATATGAGGTTATGGCATTGCTATCTTTGGGTAGGGTGTGATACTTATCCAAAAGACCAGACAGGACGCAGTTAGAAACCAGGGTGGTTATGACCCATCAGGCTATGTTGCAAAAAGTTAGATACGAAAGTCTAATTGCAAGTTTTATCATGATATAAAAAAAATCTGCAATGGAAAGTGAAGGTTACAAAATGGTTAACAATCAGGTTGTAATTGTTAAAAAAAAGGTTGTACCTAATTAAAACTTCAACCACACACAGATGTGGCGTTGCAACAAGGTTATGCCAGAATTATTCATGTTGTGAAGTTATGTTGAAATCAATCACTGAAACAGCAGGTTAGATAATGGCTACACGTCAGGTTATGTTGACAAGAGTAGCTTTACAAAAGACCTAGTGTAGATTGTTTACAAAAGACCTAGTGTAGATTGTAGAAGTTTCATCAAAACTTTGAAAATAAGGATTTAACAGTCAGGTTTCATCAGGGTTACACATCAGGTTATCTTGGCATGAATAAACTTTTTTCAAAAAAACAAGGCACATTGTAGAAATTTCATCGAAGGTAGATCGACAATTATTAAACAAAATTGAATTATTGACAATTATGGAATTTAAAAGTAGTCAGGTTATATTAGGGTTACATGTCAGGTTATGTTGGCAAATGTAGGCTTTTTTAGTAACGACCAATGCAGGTTAGACATTCTATCGATGCTTTGCCCTAAGCATCGACAATCGAGCCAAAAACATGTCAGGTTATATCATGGTTACATGTCAGGTTGACATGTGTAAATGTTTATAAAAGAGAAACACTTCTATATCATAGAAAGATGTCAGGTTATGTTGGCAAATGTAGACTTTCAAAAAGGCAAGATTATGCGGCTGTTACAAGAGAATAAAGCACATAATAAACAGACAATATATTCATAATTATACAGATTTTTGAATTAAATATAAATTAAATTATTTCAAAGGAAAAATTAAACAGAATCACAGTTTCTTCTACTCTCCGTCGTTAAGCCGTCTCTTTTCTTTCACCGTTTCCCCTTTTGATTGTAATGGCATTGTTCTTAAAAAAAAAAGGCCAAAAATTAATTAATTGTTAATTATTATTATATAAAAAATTGAAGGTACCACAGCCGAAATTGATGATGCCCTTTTGTTCGAGGAAGGCGAAAACCTTGCCGATCCCGTTGACGTCGCCGCAGTTCTTGAGCCCGGTGCGGGCGACCGTTTTTGTGAGGTATTTTGGAAAGAGGACGGACCATTTTTTCACTATGTGGTTGCGTATCTGAAAAAATTAGGGGGGAGGTTAAAACATGGATACAATGAAAAAGATTTATAATCAGGCGCAAGTCGGGGTTACAATATGGATGCCAGTACGGTCATATCAGAGACAAGGAATGATGCAAAAGATGGATGATTCACGAACACAGTATGCGGGAGGTTGGGTGGTGTACAACCAGGACAAGCGCTAACGGGATGAAGGATTAAAAAAGGTTACTAAATTGTTACATATCACGATAAGCTGAGGCCTACTAAACAAAAACTATGACACAGCTTGATTACCTCATCAGGTTATGCTGACACCCAATATACTTAAGAAAGGTTACCACATGGTTACTTGCCAGGTTATGTTGACAGCCAATGCAGTAATTAGTTATCTGTTAACAGCAAGGTTACTTGTCTAGTTATGCCTAAGCCTGAGCAAGTTTACCTGCCTGGTTATGGCGACACTTTATTTGGAGGTGGTTAAAAAAACCAATGAGTTACCAGTCTAAGAAAGATTACATGCCGGCTTATGCTGACAATACAGTAAAATAAGGTTACAGCATGGCTACCTGTTAAGTTATGCCAAAGTCTAAGGATGGTTATAGGTCAGGTTATGGGAAAGCTAGGTTACAATTCTAAAAAAAGAAAAAGCATGGTTATTGGCTACATGCCAGGTTATACTGACCCCCCCCCAATATTAAGAAAGGTTCTAACCTTGTTGTTACCTGTCAGGTTATGCCGATACGCAATACTGTTAAGTGACACCCAATACAGTTAAGTAAGGTTACAATGTGGTTACCTGTAAGATTATGGTATCGCTTCATGGCAGGTGGTAACAAGGTTACATCACTGTTATATGTCAGGTTATGCAGCTTGAAATGCCATGTTACCGACACAGAACAGGATACATCACTGTTACCATCTAACAGTGATTATGTTAATGAAAGGTTACAGTGCTGTTACTGACCGTCATGTAACGCCTGGCGCCTTTTCTGTGCTTGAAGAACTCGGGGAAGAGTCGCATCTCCTCCGAGGTTGGAACATCGGGGTCGACCCTGGTCCTCTCAGATGGGGGTGGCAGCGAGTATATCTCGTCCAGCGTCTTCCGAAGCGCGATCGTGTACTTGGAGTCGGGTAGACGCCTCCTTTCATTCCACCTTGGGTCGAAGGGTGGTGCATCACAGCATAGTGGCCGATCAAGCGTGGCCGGCTTTGGGAGGATTGGGGGGCAGTCAACACCCTCAATGTCAACTTCACACTCGTCCTCTATCTTTGTCACCCTGATCTGCACCAACATAACAGTTATAATTTTAAAAAAATCCTTCAATCAAAAGAAAAACAACGTACAATTTCCTCATATTTCCCCTGAAATATCGAATTGCGATTGAGCGTGAGCATACGACCTCGTATCGTTTCAAATTCCTTCTTTGTCATGGCTTTGACGCGCTTCTTCGCACTGTCAATTAAAAAAAAAATTAATTTATAAATAAACAGAAAAAAACATCATCCGCGTACACTTTTCTTTTCCTCCTCGCTGGGAAGTGCAAGCCCTGCACCATCAACGTCTGTGTCTCATGCGTTGCCTCATCCGTGTCCGCCTTTGATCCCAGGTCTCCAGCCTTCGGATAAAATACAATAAATTAATTAAATCGCAACAGATCAACCGGCTTCATCCATCATCATAACGTATCATTATGATCATTGTCACATAAAAATATAAAATTATTTTAAATTTTATTCAAAACCAAACGTTCGAATTGGTTTTTCATAATACAAGCAAAGTTATTAATAATATCATTGATGACAGACATTCTCAAATCGATCTGTATGAAGCCATGTACATCAAATAAAAACCATATGATAAATCTGTTAAGTATCCTCAATCATTGCTGATCCAATCAATAATGATCATGATCAGCGATGATGAATAATGAGTTAGTAAGATAGTAATGAATATCACATAGTAATTTTTTTTTGCCTGTCCATTGATCAAAGTTGACAGGAAGACACGTTAATGATTACTGTGACCTGTGATTAGGCGATACCCGATACGATTGATACATTTCAATAAATGAAGGACATTTTTTTACATGTCAGAGTGATCATCAATGACAATTCTTTATGTTTATTAGATCATCGCTGATCTGATTGATAATGAAACACTGGTCTCAACGTTCATGAAAGAACAAGTGGTAATGTCGATACAATTGTCATAATGATCATCTATGACAAATCATCAAATATTTTCTTGTTGTACTTTGTTCAACCCAACTTCAATAATCCAGACACGTTTGACAATAATGCCATCTAGATGTTATTTTACTCGTCATGATCAATGATGATGTGATGACAGAAACTGTTTCAACTTGCATTATATATTGGGCGACAGCAACTGTGAACAAAAGCGTATACATTTTAATAAACGAGGTTAAAAATATTTAAATGTTTTTATAATGGTCAGAGTGATCTTCAATGACAATCTTTTATGTTTATTGAATCGTCGCTGATCTGATTGACAGTGATGGTCTCAAACTCAATAAAAGAACAAGTTGTAAAGATAGTAATGTAGACTTTCTATGTCATTATAACTGTCATAATGATCATCGATGACAAATCAAATATTTTCTTGTTGTACTTTGTTCAACCCTATTTCAATCAGCATTAATCCAGACATGTTTGACAATAATTATACAAACGTTTATTTCCACTGGTCACAATGATCAATGCTGATGTGAATATATATTATTGCACTCTTGTCATTATGTATTCAGTGACAGCAAAAGTGAACGAAAGCGGATACATTTTATGTTGCTACACATGTCACATTGATCATTGATGACAATCTTTTATGATCAGGGACAAACAAACTTATATCTCAAACAGTTTGCCAATATGTTTTGATATTATACTTGTCCATAATATGATCAGTGCCGAAACGTTGTAAGAGCATAGATTGTTTCTATGTCATTATAATTGTCATAGTGGTCATCGATGACAAACTGTCGACGATTTTTTTTTTATCGTATTTGATACGACCCAATACTGGATTGTAAAACCAGCTACATTGTGTCAGACCAATGACGACAGGCTCGATCCGTCATCACCACTGATCAGTAATGACAAGTTTATAATAATCGAAATCCGTTACCTCCAGAGAGCTTTCGCCTTCCGCCGGGAGGTCCAGGTCCCAGAGGCTCAGGTCCGCCGGCCAGTCCATGGCATCGAACTCGTTTTGCCTGGATCGAAACAATTAATTATTTATTCTAATTGAAGGAATAATTAATTAATTAATCGTAGAAAATGGCTTACGTGTTGGAATTCAGGTCGAGGAGGTTGTCGATGCTGAGGTCGAGCAGACCGACCAGGTCGTCTTCGTCCATTTCTCTCGCTTCCTTTTTAGTTTTGTTTAAAAGACCGAAAAAATTTATTTATTATAATTAATTAATTAATTTCAATTTGGAAGGATAAATGTCGAATGAGGAAGGGGTGAGGGAGAGGCTCCACATATTTGACATCTATCGGCCACGCTGCCGGGAAGGTTATAACAAGGTTAAAAAGAAGAAACGTAAGTGAAAATTAGGTCGCATTGATTTTTTTTTTTTTTTTAACTCAATGATTAATAATATAAAACAATAAATTAATTAAACATAAATTAAATTTCAAAAGGATTTAAGGCAAAGCTGGAAAGAGAACGATTATGATGAGAAACTCGGTTTAAAATTTACGGAGGGGGCGCCGAAGGTGGAATAACGTTTTTCCCGCCGAATTACGAATTGTTTTATCGTGTCGTCTTACAAAAAAAGTCAATATTGACCAAAAAATTACTCACAATAATTTCACAAAAGCGGATATATTAATACATAACATATTCATACATAAATATTCTAAATAAAGGCTTTACATAATGAGCTTTCTTTTGATTCCATATACATATTTTCTTTAATTATTAATAGCACAGGTTATTAATTTTTTTATATTTTTATTACATGTGAAAAGTACCGGAGGCTGTGAATAATGTATTTTTAAATCTTTCTTCTATTATTTTATTTATATTTTTTAATATTGTGAAAATGGTTAAATTGAGAAAAACAGTGTTTTTTGTTGGGTAACTACTGTGAGTTTTTAGCTGTCCGTTTTTGTTTTCTTCTTTTAATACCGCGACCAAGGTCAATTTATGTCGGATAATTTTTGTTTTTGTTTAGACGAATATCTAGACAAAAGTCGTTTTTGTAGGGCTTTTTCAGGATTGGATCGGATAAAAAACCGTAAAGACTTTTTCGTTTTAAAAGACACGCTCTTTTATTCTTCATACATAAGCACTTATGTATGAGTGTCTTCCTCCGTAGAAGTGACCAACGGATTTAAGAACGGCACAGTCTGACGTCACCTTAGCGCAACATTCAAATTTATTCTCTTACATTTTTAATCTTTATATTTTAATTTAATTTTTTAAATTAATTTATTTTTTAATTTAATTTAATTTTAGTTTATTTTATTCATTTATTTGTTTGTTTTATGAAAACCTAGACAAAGGTCAATTTATGTAGGACAATTTTTGTTTTTGTTAAGACGAATACCTAGACAAAATTCATTTTCTGTTGGTCTTTATTTTTTGGTTTTTATTTTTTTAATTTAATTTAATTTTAAATGAAAACCTCAACAAAAGTCAATTGTCCCCATTGACGTAAGAAAAAATCAGTCATAGGTTTTTGTGTGGGTCGGCCATTTTTGTACGAAAACCTCGACAAAGGTCAATTTATGTTGAACATTTTATTTTATTTTTGTAGTTTTTGTACCAAAATGTCTCTAAAGGAAATTTATGTCGGGCTTCTTTTTTTATACGAAACCTCGACAAAGGTCGGACAATTTTTGTTTTTGTCGGAGGGAAATATTGGCAAAAATCTATGTATTTCGTCCATTGACGTGTAACATATCAATCACCGGGTTTTTGTCGCGTCGGCCATTTTCGTCGGGCAACTGCCTTGAAGGTTCCCACCCTCTTCGCCAGCGTTTCACCGTCGAACACCCGTGTCGTGCGACAAAAAAAGTGAATTTTTGTCCTCAAACAGACAAAAAAGCCAACAATAAAACCTTTAGACGAAAATTTCCAACTTTCCCGCCTCGGCCTTGCGCACGCCGGTCTCACTGTGCCTATTCCCGTTCGCGTCCCGGCCGCACCGAGCAGCACGGCCCCCTCTGTGCTTAGGCTAAGTAAGCAGTAAGTACTTGCCCTATCGAACTTGATAAGGACTTGAACAAGTATTAAGTACCGTCGTAGTAAAAAGCAAGAAAACCCAGGCGGTAAGTGCTTTAGGGAGGAGCGAGCCAACTCACCGCCATGTCTGAAAAGGTGAACTTCGTTTTTTTTTGTTATTATTTTATTTTATTTATTATAATTTTGGAAAAACTCGGGACTTTATTTTTGTGTGCTTAAATGTTTTTTGTTTGTTTTAATAGTGTTTAAAGGCGACTAAATGTCCGACGGACGAGCTCGCACCTCTGAACTGTGCTGTTGGAAGCCATGATGATTTCAATGAAGACATCAAGTTTGTATTTTTTCTCTTTTTGTTAGTTTTTGTTTTTATCTTATTTTTTTTCTTTTTAGATACGTTAATGTCATACCTGTACCTGGTCAGCAGTACGTCTTCAAGCTCTGCCTCCACCGAGACATCAAGAAAGGTTTCATCGGGTTCAACACGATCGGTCGTAAATGGGCCGGGATCTCGATCAATCAGGATTTGAAAGTATGTCATATTTGATAATGTTGATTGTCATTAATGACGGTTTATTTGTGTAGGTGAAACCGTTTTATTTTTCGCCGACATCAACGAGCCAGTGCCTCTGTTCGATAGTCCTTGAAGCCGACTATATAAGGAAGAAGAAGTAAGGTTATGTTATGGTTATATTGAAGGTTATTTGATTGTTTTTTTGTTGTTGAAAAAGTATAAACCAGTCGGAGACGTACAACACAGACGAGATGACTCAGAAGTTTTTGATGCAGTTCTCGGGTCATCCATTCACGTTGAACCAGGAGCTAGCATTCTACTTCCAGGAGGACAGGGAGATTCTTCTTCTGCGTGTCGTGAAGCTCGAAGCGGCCGACATCAATGCAATCAAAGCCGGGCAGGACGCCAAGCCACAGCCGACTCAGATGGGCCGGTGCCTCGGCGACACGATCGTCAGCTTCGTCAAGAAAGACAAGTCGTTTTTGAACCTCATCGGCTCCAAGACAGAGCGCGTATCCATCATAAACCCCAATTGGGACTTTGGCGAGATGGGTATCGGCGGGCTAGACATGGAATTCAACGCAATATTCCGGCGCGCTTTCGCCTCCAGGGTCTTCCCGCCTGAGGTTGTTGAGCAATTAGGTAAAAAAAAACTTTAAAAAAAGATAATTACTTTAAATTAATTTTTTATTTATTAAAGGATGTAAACACGTCAAGGGCATTCTTCTCTACGGACCTCCTGGTACGGGAAAGACGCTTATGGCTAGGCAGATCGGTAAGATGTTGAATGCCAGGGAGCCAAAGATAGTCAATGGCCCACAGATTCTGGACAAATACGTTGGCGAGTCTGAAGCAAATATACGCCGACTTTTTGCTGAAGCCGAGGAAGAGGAGAAGCGCCTCGGCGTGAACAGTGGCCTGCATATTATAATACTTGATGAGATGGATGCGATATGTAAGTCGCGAGGGTCCGTTGGAGGCAACACGGGTGTACATGACACGGTCGTGAACCAGCTACTTTCGAAGATAGACGGCGTCGACCAGCTTAACAACATACTCATAATAGGCATGACAAACCGTCGTGACATGATCGACGAGGCGTTGCTCCGTCCCGGCAGGCTGGAGGTGCAGATGGAGATTGGACTGCCGAACGAGCACGGCCGGGTGCAGATACTCAAGATCCATACAGCCAAGATGTTCGACTACGACAAGATCGCGAGGGACGTCGACATCAAAGAGCTCGCCTCCATGACAAAGAACTTCAGCGGAGCGGAGCTTGAGGGTCTCGTGAGGGCGGCGCAGTCGACGGCGATGAACCGGCTCATTAAGGCTGCCTCTAAAGTCGAAGTAGACCCAGAGGCAATGAAGAAACTTCGCATCGAACGCAGTGATTTCTTGCACGCGCTTGAAAATGACATCAAACCCGTTGAGTACACGTCAAATAAACAAATGACAAAATATTAATTTTTTTTTCCTTAGGCATTCGGCACTTCAGCGGAAGCTTTGGATCACTGCCTGGCTAGGGGCATCGTGAACTGGGGCAACCCGGTGTCATCGATTCTCGAGGACGGTCTTCTACTTTGCCAACAGGCCAGGTCAACAGAAACTTCTGGCCTCGTATCGGTTCTCCTTGAAGGTAAACTATCCAAATAAATTTTTACTGACTGTTATATACAATATAATAAAAATTAGTTGGCTTGTGTATACAGCAGTACTAAGGTGAACTGATTTGTATAAATAATATACATAGAGTAGTATTCAAAGTTAATCAACTTGTATATACAGCAGTATAATGTTGTTAGGCAACTTGTACAGACGATAAGTACAAACGTTAGTAGACATATATACAGCAGTACTAAGTTCTGTATATAGTATCAAAGTTGGTTAAGTTGTACATATAGCAGTACCAAGTACAGTGGTACTAAAGTTAGTTTATTTATATGTAGAGCAGTACCAAGATCTATATATACATAGTACTGAAGTTAGTTGTCTTGTATATGCAGCAGTACTAAGATCCGTATATACGTAGTATCAAAGTTAGTCGACATACATACAGCAGTACCATGATCTGTATATACGGAGTACAGAAGTTAGCTAATTTGTGTATACAGCAGTATCAAGATTTGTATATACACTAGTATAAAAGTTAGTTGACTTGTATATACAGCAGTACTAACGTTAACTGATTTGTATAAGTAATATAGTCAACTAATATACCTAGAGTAGTATCCAAAGTTAGTCAACTTGTATATATGACAAGTACAAAAGTTAGTAGACATATATACAGCAGTACCAAGATCTGTATATACAGTGGTATTAAAGTTATTAGATTTTTATGTAGAAGTATAATTATATACAGACCAAGATCTATATATACATAGTACTAAAGTTAGTTGTCTTGTATACGCAGCAGTACCAAGAACTGTAATACTTAGTACTGAAGTTAGTTGACTTGCACTACTACGATCTCTATATACAGTAGTGCCAAAGTTGGCCAACTTGTGAATACAGCAGTAGCAAGATCTGTATATATGTAGTACTGAAGCTAGCTGACTTGTGAATACAGCAATATCAAAATCTATTTGTACAGTAGTACCAAAGTTGGTTGACTCGTATATACAGCAGTACTCCACCATACGGAGACTACATATCTATTTTTACATTCATTACTGAATGTAAAATTATGTCATGTAATGTAATGTCATATATATCATCATCTACAGGTCCGCCAAACGCAGGGAAGACTGCGCTGGCTGCGATGCTCGCCAAGAACTCCGATTTTCCGTTCATCAAGGTCTGCACGCCTGAGGAGATGGTCGGTTACACCGAGAGTGCCAAGTGCAGCATGATCCGTAAAGTGCGTTTGAGATCTTTAAAAACAATCGTTTTTTTAATTTTTTTTTCTTTTGATTTTTCTAGGTGTTTGACGATGCATACAGGTCGCAATTGAGCTGCATACTCGTTGACAACATCGAGCGTCTTCTTGACTACGGTTCGATTGGGCCGAGGTACTCTAACTTGACTCTCCAGGCACTTCTCGTCCTGCTAAAGAAGGAGCCACCACGAGGCCGCAAGCTCCTCATCCTGTGCACCACGAGCCGCCGGCAGGTCCTCCAGGACATGGAGATGCTCTCAGGCTTCACGGCCGTCCTCCACGTACCGAATCTCAGTCGGCCTGAGCACCTCATGGCTGTAATCGAGGAGTCAAAGGTTTTTGACAAGAACCAGCTTACAAAGCTTGCAAAGAAAATCCATGGGCAGAGGTAACTTCTCATTTATAAAGTTCTTCCCCCCCCCCATAATATGTCGCCATTGTCTTGGTTCATATTTCATGTCGTTATGACCCAAATTCTTATTTTATGCTACCATTACTACAACAAGCCTGGGCCACATTTTATGTTGCCTTCACTATGATTCTATCATCTTTCCAACTTCATTGGGTTATGGCCCGTTAGTCATTTTTCATGTCACCATGGTCATGTGTAGTCTTTCATGTCCCCATGGCACTAATACATATTTCATGTCGCCATGACCCTGAATTCTATTTATTGGCACAATTTCATATTTCCTGATGGCACAACCATAAGTTGTAGTCCTTGGCATTAATTCATATTTTATGTCACTGTGGCACTAATTCATATTTCATGACAGCCTGAGTCATGTTCCCTAGCACTAATTCATATTTCATGACACGAGGTATGAGTCAAATTTTATGTTTAATATTTTATGTTACAATGTCACTAAATCATATTTTATGTCGCCAAGGAACAAATTCATATTTTTGTCGCCATGGCACTAATTCATATTTTATGTTGTCATGAACATGATTAACATTTTATGTTACCATGGCGCTAATTCATATTTCATGTCAGCATGACCTTAAGTCATATGTCACTGGCACTAATATTCATATTTTATGTCGCCATGGCCTTGTCGTACTTTATGTTGTCATGAACATGATTAACATTTTATGTTGCCATGGCACTAATTCATATTTTATGCTCCTATGTCCCTGAATCATATTTTTATGTTACCATGAACATGATAAATATTTTGATATGGATTCATATTTTATGTAGCCATCAACCTTAGTTGAATTTTATGTTGTTATGAGCAGATTAATACTTTATGTCACCATAGCACTGAACTGTATTTTTATGTTGCCATGAACATGTTGAATATTTATGTCGCTATGACATAGATCCGTATTTTATGTTGCCATGGCCCTTAACATATTTTATGTTGTCATGAATACAATATTTTATGTCACCATGACACCTGAGCCTCATTTTATGCTGCCATGAACATGTTTAATACTTATGTCACTATGACATAGATTCTTATTTTATTCTTATGGCACTAATTCAATTTTCATGTCACTTTTGAGTCATATTGTTGACAACATGTCGAGACCGACCTAATATAAGTTTTGTCTTGTGTTTTTCTTTTTCTCCTTCCTCGCAGGGTGTTCATCGGGATCAAGAAGCTCCTTGCCCTCATCGACATGGCCCGTCAGACTGCCGAGGACATGCGGGTCGTCAAGTTCCTCACGAAGCTCGAAGAGGAGGGCGGCCTGGGCGAGACCGGCATCCGTTAAAAAAAAAAAATTCCTTTTTGACACGGTTAGAAAAAAAAATCAAAAAGACAAAAAAATTGTATGCATTCCAGCTTTTTTAATTTTTCTATTACTTTTGTAAGTGACTGTGATTTTTTGATTCTGGTACTTTATTATTATTCTTTGAACTTGTCAAAAAACATATCTATTTAACATTTCTAACCAGAAAAAAAGAAGAGGAAAATGTTATATTTTATCGTTGGTAAATATTGATTTTATGTTTTGTTTATTTTTATCCGTTTCGTTGTCTTTCTAAGACTGCAGACGGGTTGAGTCTAGTCAAAACAAAAACAAAAAAGTCTGGTCCGCTTAAGCCACGACGGGCTTCATTTTTTCCCCATCTGGCTCGCTACTCATCCTACGGCCTCGTATGCATCTCTCATTTAATTTATTTAATTTATTCGTTATATTAAAAAATATTACATGCATATATAGTTTTTATAATACAGTTTTTTTTGTTTTTTTAATATATCGCATCGCATTTAGTCAAAAACAGCGCACTTAGAAGAAAATATGAAACGTGGCGTAGAAATAATAAATTAATTGACAAAAAATGTCTTTTTTTCTAGTAACACAATAAAAATTAGTGTTTAACAGTTATAAAAATTTTTAAAAAGTAGCATCTCAAATTTTGAAAAAAAGCAATAATAGTTTAAAAAAGCGCATTATATATAAAAAAATATACTATATATATATTTAAAATATTTAAAAAAATACATTCCATTGTATTATTGTTGTTAAAGAAAAATAAATTAATTAAACAATCAATAAAAAATTTAATTAGAAATAAAAAGAGAAAAGACTACTTGTTGAATAGTCGACCCAGCCCCCTCCCTCAACCCCTCCCCTCTCGATTCAATGGGGTGGTTTTATTGATCGACGCAATCCACCTCCCCCACTCGCCGTCCGTTTTCGGTCGGAGGGAGGAGGGGGCAGGTTACGGCACGGTTTCGCCTTCCCCGAGCGGGCACCCTCCTCCCCTTTCGACGAGACAGGTCCAGGTAAGGATATATTTATTTTATTATTATTACATTTCTTTTAAATAAGTCGATAAAAGCCTTGGAAGAGTTTGAAGTTTTTTTCTTACCGGATAAATCAGGATTAGATGATCCTGTAAAAAAAATTGACCCGTTTGTAATCCAGTTTGTAATCTCACGGGGGTGGACGGTATAAGATTCTAAACTATTTACTTTCGATTTTCAAGTAGTAAACTTATTGTGAAAATAATTAAAAAAATTATTTATTAACTAAAATAAATAACTCCTTCGGAGACAGCAATACAACAACATGACTCGGCACGTGATATAAAAAAAAAATTGAATTTAGTAAACGCTAAGATTTAATATTAATATATATTTTTTACCAAGGGAAGAACTCAATGTCTATTTTCCTAACGAAAAAAAACGGACATGGAGTTCTTATTTATTAGTTTTTCATGTGTATGTTTTGTCCCTCGTTTTAGTGCCAGTGTATTTGGTGTTTTCTAAAATCTAAGAGGTTATAGTCAAGTTTACATTTTTTACTTGACGCCGTTATTAATGCCAGAGAGGTTATAGTTAGGTTTAAATTTTTCCGGACGATAATTTAAATTTTCGAGAAGTTTTTGACGGTTTTACAATTTTTGCCTGTCGCCATTGGTAATGTTTCTTACGGCCATATTAATATCAGGGAGGTTGTAGTGTGGTTTACATATTTGCTGAAAGCCATTATTAATTTCTCAGAGGTTATACCTCTATACAGGACTCCATTGTTAGTTTGCGAGGTTATTCCTTTTCCGGACTCAATTGTTAATTTATGAGAGTTTATAGTCAGGTTTACATTTTACCGGACGATAATTTAAATTTTTCGAAAGGCTATTGACGGGTTGTCGATTTTTTCTTGACGCCATTTTTAAAATTTGAGAGGTTATAGTCGCGTTTACATATTACTTGACGCTATTATTAATATCGGAGGAGGTTATAGTCAGGTTTACATTCTTATTTTATGGCGTTATTAATATCCAAGAGGTTATAGTGAGGTTTACATTTTTCCGGACGATATTTTAACTTTTGTCGGTGTACAATTTTTACGTGACGTCATTAATATCAGAGAGGTTTTTTTAAATTTTTTTTTTATTGGCCTTATGATTTTGCATATTAGCCATGGTACGAATTCTTGTGTGTTCAAATTGGGGGGTTATCGGGAAAAAAGGGCCCGAGGCGACGGTGGGAATCGAACCCACGACCGCGGCGTGAGAGTCTCTCATGCTAGCCACTCGGCTACCGCGGTCCCCTATCAGAGAGGTTATCGCGTTTACATATTTTTCTGGACAATATTTTAAATTTTCGATAGGTTATAGTAGGGTTTACATTTGTGCTGGCCGGAATTGTAAATTGCTGGAAGGGTAGAGTCAGATTTGCATTTTTGCTGGACGCCATGGTTAATATCAGAGAGGTTATAGTCAGGTTTACATTTTTTTCTGGACAATATTTGAAATTTTTCGAGAAGTTATAGTAGGGTTTACGTTTGTGCTGGGTGGCATTGTAAATTGCTGGAACGTTAGGTTTGCATTTTTGCTGGACGCCATGGTTAATATCAGAGAGGTTATAGTCAGGTTTGTATTTTTACTTTATGGCGTTATTAATATCAAAGAGGTTATAGTGAGATTTACATTTTTCCGGACTTTATTTGAACTTTTTGAGAGGCAATTATCGGGTTTACAAATTTTACGTGACGCCATTGTCAATATAAGAGAGGTTATTGTAGGATTTACATTTGTGCTGGGTGGCATAGTAAAACTCTGGAAGGTTAGAGACAGGTTTAGATTTTATTCGGTCGATATTTTAAATTTTCCAGAGGTTATTGGGGGGGATTATAATGTTTGCTTGGCGCCATTGTTAATATCAGAGGTTATATTGGCGGTTACATTTTTTCTGGACACTATTTTTCCTTATTCGGGAGGTTATTGAACGGATTACATATGTGATGGGTGACAATGTAAATTTGGTGGTTATAGTCAGGTTTACATTTTTTCTGGATGTCATTATTTTTCCGTGAGGTTATAACCCTCACAATTCAGGTTTAGTCTAACCTTTTATGTTTTGTTGGACGCCATTGTACATTTTGGAAGGTTATAACCTCTCACTTCCGGTTATAATTTACATTTATTGCGGAATGGTTAGGGATAGTCTTATTCTTCTTAACCTTTTTTTTTTTTTTGTGGGACACCATTGTTATGAAAGGCTAAATCTCCACAGTTCAGGTTATAGCCTTAACCTTTTTTGTCCGACGCCATTGTTAGTTTTTGAGAAGTTATAACCTCACTGTTCAACTTATAGCTTAACCTTTCCCTTTGTCGGACGCCATTTTCATTTGTCCTAGATCATCCTGTCTTGATTTTTGCTGAAACTTCGAATTGTGGTAGGTTTATAAATAAATAGAAAATGCAAGGATTTTTTCGTTTTTTGTTTTATTATTAAATCATATTTACAGAATAAGAAAATATAACTCAAATTTATGTTTTTTGTTTATTTATTATATTACTAATATAAATATTTTGATTTAGTTTTTTTATGGGATAATTTATTTTTTCTTTCCAAGGCAATATATTTGTATATTGAAAGGAAAAAATATTCATATAAATGTATTCAAAGGGATAAATTCGTATAAATAATTAAAAATTGTATAATAGGGTTTTTTCGTCTTATTATTAATTATTGTGTATGTATATTATTTACAAAGATGATTTTTTTTTCATTATCCATCGCTCATCATTCGAGCTTCTTCTGCGCCTCGTTTTTGAGCGCGTTCCTCTTCTTCTCCTGGTCTTTCTTGTACGCCTTCTGGTAGAAGTCGAAGAAAAGGACGAAGAAGATTGTCGAATGGACTAGGAGGAAGGCCGCGATGAGCTTGGGATAGCCGCAGTCGAAGAAGAGCACCTGGGCCGAGTGGAAAAAGACGAGGGTGAACTGTGCCTGTTGGGGAGGGGGAAGTGAGAAGAGAAAAAATGTTAAAAATAAATTTATCGTTATTAAAACCGCATCGGGGTACCAGTTGGATAGTCGTGAGGTACTGCTTCCACCAGAGGTACTTCTGGTACTGGGGTCCCATGGCCGAGAGGAGGTAGTATGAGTACATTATGATGTGTACGAGGTTGTTGACAAGGTTCGAGAAAGTGCCGTGGCCCCCGGCTATGAACTTGACGCAGACCCAGGTCTCGATGGGCGTCAGCGAATGGTGATAGAGGTGGAGTAGCGTGATCTGGTTGTCCTTCTTCCTTAGGACGAAGAATATCTGGGACATGGGAAAATAAATGAAAAAGTTAGCGAAATTTCAATTTCAATTCATTTTGTGAGTTATTTTCGATCTGCAGTTTAGAATTAACAAAAAAGAAAAAACATGGAATAAAGTGAAGCGTATAAAAAAAATAGCCAAAGGTTTCAAAAGTCGAGATGTAAAGAACATTCCCCTACTGTTATAAACATGGTTTGAGGTTTCATCAAGGAGAAAACTGCTCTTATAACCTTTGTGTGCGGTTGCACAACAGGTTTAAACCTACTCTTATAACATTTGATGGAGGTTGCATCAACCAGAAACCTACTCTTATAACCTTTGTTTTAGGTTGCAACAGGTTTAAACCTGCTCTTACAACGTTTGAAGGAGGTTGCATCAAGCAACCACCTACTCATAACCTTTTTTGAGGTCGCAACAGGTTATAACCTACGCTTATGACCGTTAAGAAGGTTATAACATTGGTAACCTGCCATTTATAACCTTCATGGTAGATAGTAACGACCCATCTTAAATCTACTTACAATAACAACCTTAACCGAAATTCAGTCACTTGGGGTTTTATATCACGAATTGAAAATTCATAGAATATTCGATACAAAAAACAACGTTTTAAGCTCAGAGATAACAATTGTGTAACCTTCCTCGTGGATGTTGTAACAATGCCGGAACGGAACCTGCTACGCCATATTTGTCTATTATTATAAAGATTTAGCGTGGTTAGTACATCTTACTTAGTTTAGGTTATAACCTTCCCAATTCTAAACAGGAGGGTTATAACCTGTATTTTAAATTTTTCTCTGTGTAAATCTATGTGAACGTGGGGTTTCTCGCTATTCCTCATTTGGCGGCTTAAAATGTTATAAAAAAAGTCTTAAATTTTTATGAGGTTACTCTACAAGGTTATAAAATAAATTGCTTCCAATTTAGGATCATAGGCTATGAGGAATGATTATTTGTTATTTACGAAGACAAGGAATAATTACTGGGAGATTATAACTGTTAAGGGTTATAAAATTATCACCTTACTATAAGTGTTACTATAGTTTATGTTACAAATGTACATTGATTGTTGTAATTCTTCATTTGGAGAGTTAAGACCCTACTTGAAAGTTATGATTAGTTTTACAAAATGTTATAACCTTCCCAACCTTCGAGAATTAAGGTCTGAAGACAACTAATTTAAGGAATATCCTCGGCGGGTTGTATCACTTTGAGGTTACGAATTAACTTAAATGTTGCATACCAACTCAATAAGGTTATATATATTTACATTACATATTAAATTGATCAGAAAGTAGAAATAAACCATCAAACCTTCCTGCAAGTTACAATTCATTAGTTAATAAATTGTAACTTGCAGGAAGTTATGATGGTTTAATTTCATTTGCAACCTCACGATTTAGCCAGAGTTACAATTTAGCTAGGCTAGAACATCATTTGAAAAGTTGTAAATCTTAAATCCGGTGTTACGATCCTGCCGGAAGGTTACACGTAGTATATTGGTTAACATCTTCATAACCTTTGTTGTTATAAGCAGCCACAAATTAAGGTTATAATATAGTTTGATGAAATAACCTTCTTCTTACGACACGATTAGAGAGAACAACCGAATTGCGTTAGAAATATAATCGGCGAGTTATATCAATTAGAGGTGACGATCTAACGTGAACGTTATAAATGAAGGTTATGAATGTATAGTTGTAACCTTCCAATGGGTGCCCCTAATGGGATGGAACAATTGAATTGCATTGTTCTAAAAAAACTCGGTGAGTTGCATCACTTTGTTGTTACGATTTAACTCAAAGATTATATGCAGGTTATAAACGTAAATATGAAGGTTATTATTGTGTAGTTTGATGATATAACTTCAACTTACTGAACGGATGAGAGGTTACTATTTACGTTTTAATATAACTGAACATATAACTGTTTAATATAACTATCACATTGGAGGATACACACATGCTGGAAGGTTATAATGTACAATGTGTTACTTCCTAACCTTACCCTGACAATTTGACTTCGTACGAGTTACAACTTAACAAAGTTATATTCTTGACAAGCTGTAAATGAGGTTACGATCAGATTAGAATTTGCATAGTGTGATGAACTTTCCTAATCTCGCTCCAATTGACAAGGATGTATTTGCCAGAGTTTTAACTTTACCGGATTTTAAATGTACCAGAAAAGTTAGAACTCTTATATTTATTTATTATGCGTTATTACCCTCCTTTGCTTTTATATCATTCCCCCCCCCCCTACTGAGGTGAGACATTCAAATTGCGTTAAATACATACTAGGGTTGTATGCATCACTCTGAGATTACAAATTTCTTAAGGTTATTAATCTTGGCATTGAGGCTAGTAATATACTCGGTGTGCGGCATTGAGTTTATTATTCATCCCTAACCTTATAAACTTGTAAAACTTAATTTAGGTTATCTTTTCTCGTAGATGCTAACCGGAGGATAAAACTCAATTTGCTAAAAGTATACTCGGCGTGTAGTATCAATTGGAGGTTATTTTTCTACTTGAAGTTTAAATAAATTTACCTTGAATGTAAAACCTTGCCCATAAGACTGTTAACAAGAAGGCAAAACCAATTGCGATAGAAATATACTCGGTGGGTACCTTAAGTTTATTACACTATTTTAAAGTTATAAAACATTAGGTTACATGACGGTAATAAAGTTGTAGTTAGGATTGTACTTGAAGGGTATGATGTTTAGTAAGAGGTTATAACCTTCTCAATTGGACAATAAATACTTATAAAAAGGTTATAACCTTAAAATAAATTAAAACTTCTCACCGTGTCCATGAACTCGGTTAGCTTTGAGATGTAGTACCACCAGCACAGGTTGGCCATCTGGAAAAATACATATTTCATTTTTTTAGGTGGTGGTGGGGAATTGAAGGTTCTTACCCTCATGGCTGTGGGGTTTTGAGAGTAGTCGACGGGCTGGCAGCGGTAACTGTAATCAAGAAGCCAACCGCTCATCAGGTGCTGAAAGCAAAAACGATTCTTAAAGTTTCTTTCCATTCTGATTCCAATATATCTGATTCGAAAAGAGAAATCAATTGAAAAAAATATAAAGCAAGGAGGTTATAGCATGGTTATAATGGTAAAACAATGCTATAACCTCCCTTTGATGACGGTCTTTTGAGGCTGTTTTCAAACTGTAACCATTCGTAAGCTCCAGGCCAACCGCTTGTAGATTAGAATTAGAAAAAAAAGATCGAGATTTAAGAAGAAGGCGAAAAAAACCATACGAAAACCTCCAAATTCAGGTTTTGGTAACTATCTTCAAGATTTCACAATCGAATATAAAAAATTGTCATTGTCAATTCAAAATTTTTAAATATAAAGAATGGAATGAGGTTATAAGCCTCGTCGGTAACATGTGTATAACCTCCTTGTGTGTAGACTTCTAACACTGAGGAAGGTCGAATCTCTTTTAAAAATTTGATTACCTGCCCAATTTAACGTGCGAACGTTTTACGATAACACGCCAGATTGGTTACAAAACCGAAGTACGCTACGTACGCGAAATGCAATAGGATGTTTGAATAAATCTAACAATCAACAAGCAAGCGTGTAGACTCTCTAATTTATAACCTTCCCGCTTTTAACCTGCAATAATAAACGCGAGGAGGTTAGAAAACGGAGATAACACGGAATAGGTGTTACGATATTTAAATATACCTGGATAATAGCCCTCTGGCGTTTAGACTTGCTTATAACCAATGGAAGGTTACAACTCGAAAACCTTTAAGTCATAACCTGCCCGGCCGTAACCAGCAATTACGTTAAATTTATTGTGAAAAATTTCATTTTAAAACATTAATTCATTTTAATGGGCGTTTTCGAACGGAGAAAAAGTGTAACCTGATTCTTTGTAAGAAAAAAGGTTAGAATTTTTAAACCGGCACAACAAGCAATTTTTAAAAATTTTCGGTGATTATTAATTGGAAAGTTACAAAACTGACATGCTTATGTCAATTTAGATCAACCAATAAATAACAGAAACCTGTATTGAACCTGCCATCTTGCAAACTTCCGTATAACCCGAGAGAAGGTAAAGTATCTATAAAACTTGATTTCAAGAAATAAAAATGGTTATAACGTTACCTTCCTATCCTTTCACATCGGATCCTAATGAAATGGAGTTATAAATATATTCGGTTAGTATCACTTTGAGGTCACTATTTAATTTGAAAGTTATAAATGTTTAATATATTGTAATCTTCACCAATCTGACATTGCCTTAGCAACAGTTACAATGTAACAAAGATAGAAATATTCTTTAAATGCCATAAAACTTAATTTTAACGTTACGACGCGATTTGATAGTTATGGTTAATATTATTACCTTCCTAACCTAATGGGATGGAATAGCTAAATTGCTTTAAAATCATACTCGGTGTTGTATCACTTTGAGGTTACTATTTCACTTGAAGGTTATAAAACTTTCATTGAAGTTATAATATTCACCATGTGACAATCAAGCCAAGACAAAGTTCAATTTGTGTTCATGTACTCAGCGTGTTGTGTATAACTTAACTATTATATTGGAAGGTACGTTCCTTCTATTCGTTTCTCATCACACCCTGATAAGTGATGGTACAGGTTATGTTGTGGTTAGAATGGTTAACAGTTGTAATTCTTCAGTTTGGAGTTTACGATCATATTGGAAGGTTATGTTTCTGTAGTGGGATGGTATAACCTTCTTCCTTACTGTACCAATAAATATGATAGTGTTAAGGAAAATGGCAATTCTTAACAGAGGTTACGGTAGTGCTGGAAGGTTATATGTAAGTATTAATTAACAATTTTTTTTTCGTTAGGAGGAAAAAATACCCCAGTTGTTACATCGTCGCTGGATAATCGTTCTCTGACATTGGCCCAAACTGGACCGGTTCGCGAGTCAGGTACGACGTATTGGTACACCTGGGCATGGTTGAACGAACCCGACCCGTTGGGACACGAGTGTCGAAATCTTCCGGGTTCCGTAAGACAAAAAACCTGTCTCCAGCCTCGGGGTAAATAAATCCGTTTCATAACGACAGGTCATTAGCATACTAATCCAAATTAAAAATTATTATTATTAAAAAATTATGCTGCACTTTTACCAAAGCTGGGTTATGAAAAAATTAGGAAAACGAGAAAAGTAAGGAAAACGTTCTCCAAACGTCAAAGCCGCAAGGAGAACGTCAAAAGGGGGTTTCCACGTTGTTCTAATCTAATCGTACTACCATAATAGTATTGTCACGTTATTAGTTACGTATATTAGTTCGTAAAATTTATACGGGAACGTCGGGCAATATAAGGTTATAGGACGTATCTGTAAAGATTTTCCTATGGTTGGTAGGTTTCAGAGAGGATATCCCATTAAAAACCATGATTAATATTTTAAGGTTATATAACGTATCTGCGAAGGTTTGCTCTGGTCTGTAGGTTTCAGACAGGCTAACACCATTAAAACCCACGGTTAATTTTGTAATGTTATAAGACAGTATCTACGAAGGTTTGCTCCGGTCTGTAGGTTTCAGACAGGTTATCACCATTAAAACCCATGGTTAATACTGTAAGGTTATATTGTTTGATTGGTAGATTTCAGACAGGTTATCGCCATCAGACCCCACGGTTAATATTGTCAAGTTATATGACGCGTGTAATGGTTTATATCTGATTGGTAGGTTTCAGACAGGGTAACACCATTAAAACCCATGGTTAATTTTGTAATGTTATAAGACGTATCTATGAAGGTTTGCTCCGGTCTGTAGGTTTTAGACAGGTTATCACCATTAAAACCCATGGTTAATACTGTAAGGTTATATAACGTGTGATGGTTTATGTTTGATTGGTAGATTTCAGACAGGTTATCGCCATCAGACCCCACGGTTAATATTGTAAGGAAATATATATATAATTTAAACAGGTTGAAGAGGTTTTATAAAGGTTATTACAGCAATAAGACCTACGTAACTTTGGGAGGTTTCAGGTAGGTTATAAACATGATACAACGATTCTTCAATATCTTAATTTTCAAAGGAATCGGGAAGTTTGGAAGGTTCAAAGACTTTTTATAAACAAGCAAGAAAAACATGACATTTCCAAAGGTAATCTATTTTTGTACATAGAAGGGTTACTGTCAAAAGGTAACACTAAGGTAGATTCCGGACCGGTCATAGCCATGAGACCTTCACATAGTGAAGCTGCAGGGCTTAAGTATGATCTATTATGGTTTAGGACTGGTTGGAAGGTTTAAGTCAGGTTATACTCTGGCTGAAACCCACCGAGTATATTGGAATCAAGCTTATCCATCGATTGATCACAAGGTTACAGACTGGTTATAAATAAGCGAAATATTTTATTAAACATGGGTTTATGTCTGATTGGAAGTTTCAGACAGGTGAGAAACATGGTATAATTGGCCAATCTTCCAAGAAAGATATTGTCAGGTGACTATCAACAAGCTTTATTGTCCAAACGGTTGGAAAGTTTCAACCAGGTTATACGCTGGCTTAAACTCACCGCGTGTCAATTTGGGCGCCTGACTCATCCATGATGGGATCAGTTAAGGTTACAGACTAGACAAACGAAATCTTAGAAAAGAGATGGGAAGGCCTCTTACAGGTTGTAACATAATAACAATTCACCGATCTTTCAAAATTGGTATGCGAGCATACAGATCATGAACCATCTCAGAACCAGAATATGGGTTTATTAGTTTAGTTAGATTCAGATAGATTACAACAGCTATTGCATAGCGGGTATATAGTGCCTCAGTATATCCAATTTGGAAAGGTTTCAGACAGGTTTGACGCCGGCTAAAGCCTACAGAATATATTGAACTCGTGCTGGCAAGACGGATCAGTTAAGGTTATAGACTGGTTATAAGGAAGCTTTAGGGTAAAATATTACTTATCGATAGTTCAAAGTGGTTAACGAGAATTTACTAAGACGACCCATGCGACGTTTTGTCGTAATTTCACAACAAATGCTGAAGGTTACAGAACGGTTATCAACAAGCTTTATAGCTGTAAGAAATACAATGTAAGTGTTTAATTAAAAGTGGAAGATTTCTGCTTTTTTTCAAGGAGGGACGGTTTCACACAGGTTATTAGGATGTGTAAAATTTCAGAAACCATAAGAAAGAGATCAGTTAAGGATATAGACAAGAAGCCATTGGAAGGTTTGAGGCAGGTTATAATAGGATCTAATTGTGAGGTTTCATACTGGTTATAACTGTGCATAAGGTAGTCTATAATAGCTATAATGGAATGTTTCGGACAAATATTAGACGTGAGTACCCATGGCAAATTTTAAGAGAATAGATATAAGTTTTTATATGGGTGGTTTCACACGGGTTATAAAAATATAAGGTTACTTTTAAAAGCCTAATCCTAATGGGACACGCAATTATTGACGCATTCGGATTAAGCTTTATCACGCGTGTTTTTTTATTGTCAATAATATAGTCAAGTTAGAAGGTTACAGAATGGTGTAATACCAAAGAGTTTCGCACAGGTTTGTATGAGACTCCTTGGTTACTTTCAATGTCATTGTACTCGTGAGGTTTCACGAAGGTTATAACGAAGTAAGGTTATTTTATAAAGCCAAATCCGACTGATATTTATCTCTAATCTTATCTTTAGAAACTAGACTTTATCCAGTCTAGTTTTAGAATTTCCATTCGCCTGCTGTTAATTGGAAGGTTATACGATGGTTATAAGTATGTATTTAATACATTAAGTTATTTTAACGTGTCTTTAATGTCGGAAAGTTTCATACAGGCTAGTTTAATCTACTCAACGCCTTATTTTAAAGTTCATATTAAGAGGTTTCCCGAAGGTTATAAAGAGGGAAGGTTACGGTCATAAAGCCAAATCCCACGTGAGTTTCGTGAACCTCTGATTCAACTAGCTTCGACAAGCTAGTTTTTCACTTTTTGGTTTTCACAATAATTTACATTCAATTTGGCAGGTTAAATAATGGTAATA